TACCATAAATTCACTTTGAGTCTTTTTGAGTTGATTTATGTACCTCTATGTAATTCTTTTAGGAAATAAATGTAAACGACTTGATAGGTTCCAAGCTCAGCATTGTCAAACATAAAAGTCCCCATAAAATCATTCATTTTAAATTGCGTCTTCTGTCGTGAATCGAACAATCTATGAATTCAAAACACAAAGCCACTTAAAACGTTGGGCTTGTCCATTGACAAAATTTTCATAGATGATGTAACACAATGACATACCGACGTCCAACAATGAATATTTTTGTAAGCGGACAAAACAAGCACTTGAATGTTTTTCTTACTTCACGCTGTTTGGGAAACCCTTGAAAACACAATTCAAATATATCTGCGCTAAATTCTCATATTTTTCGGCGCTCCGTTGCTAATGCCAACATATGAACGGTTTGCGGAATGGAGACTTCCACTTATGTTTGTTATCTATAAACATTTGATGTTAACATTAAAAGACACAGATTTCATTACTATTTTCTTTTTAGGGTTCACGAAGCTAAATGTCATATAAGAAATCCTTTTGATTTTATGAAATACTTTAAGACCATTATTATAGTAACCGTTCTATGAAATTTGAAAGTAGTTGTAGTACAAAACGTTGTTCCTAAATTAGAATATATTATAAAAACAAAATTAGTCTTTAAACTGCACACATAACGTAGCATTAAAAGAAAAATTTTCATGTAAGCTAACTAACTAACAGTAATCTTTCTTAAATTCAATAATACTAAGATATAATATCATAAATTTTGTATTTTTTAATTTAAATCATCTCTATTTCAAATCTTTTTTTTCCTCATCAACAAACAATTACTATTATCGAATCCTTTAATAAATAAATTGACTAGTAGGTATCTTCAATTGACTAGTATCGGTCTGCGCGTCATGCCGTCTCGGTTGTTATTACCATTCCCCATAAGACAAGAAAGGATAGATTGATGAAACGTTTAGACCTGACCCATATGACTACTGTTGTCGATTTGACCAGTAATATTTCTTGAACATGATGAGCACCTTATGAGACATCCACTATCCAACTGGGTTCAGGAAACGGTACAGGATACTCGAGAATTTCTCAGTCTCGAACCCTAACCAATGGTGACTTGAGTCATAGAAAATCTGAACTGTCGCAAAATTTGGACAAAAAAGAACAAGTACACGCAGACGTGAAAGATATTTATTTAGTATTCGCGGTCATTCTCGGTAGGTGACGCTGACTCCGGAATCGAAAGCAAGGGAATTATAGTTACTAACAACACTATTTTTGGAACGAAGTTCCTTATGGGACGACGCGAAGGGGTACCCTTACCGGGAAAAAACGTCCGTAACGTAAGATTTTATTAGTAATGCACACAGTGTACGACTTCACTTTGTAACGACGTACAAAAAATAACATAATTTTTTATTATACCTATATTTTTTATAAATCATTGTGAATAAAATAAAGTTCATAACTTTGTAAAGTAGTTTTTATTTTATTTGTATCAATAAAAAAATCATAATAAAAAATGTATACCCCAATAATTATTTTTTTATGCCTCGAATAGAACTTAAAATTAATATTTTTATAATAAGGAACTTCGTTCTTATCCGGTGTCCCACGACACCACACATATTTTTTTCCAAATTACGCAAGATATCTACACTTCTTTATCCACACATATTTTTTCTTTTCACTTCTTACACTTCTTTATCTTCGTATAACAGGCCAGAGGATCATAGACAGGTGATTCAGGAGTCAAAAACACTCGAGCAATTCCTTCTACCATTACCATAACTAGCTTATCATTCCTCCCCCTAACTTCTCATAAATACATGGTGATTGGCTTTTGCCTTTTTCTCTACCTAAACATTCGTACGCTATAAAAATTTTTAGTTTTCCAAATGAAACTTAAACCTCACGAATCAAGGTAGATATTCATTCAGATTTTGTAATTATACTTGAGACCTTACAACTTATATCTAAGGTGGGTGGCGCATTTACGTTGTAGATGTCTATGGGCTCCAGTAACCACTTAACACTTACCAGGTGGGCTGTGAGCTCGTCCACTCATCTAAGCAATAATAAAAAATAATAAAAAAAATTAGAAAGATTACTGTTAGTTAGTTAGCTTACATGAATATTTTTCTTTTAATACTATGTTATGTGTGCACTATAAACACATTTTGTTTTTATAATATACCTACTAGCTGACCCGGCAGACTTCGTAGTGCCTTAATCGATAAATGAGTCGACTATTATCAAAGCCGGCAATGTGATTTTTGGACAATTATTGGTAAATCAGAAAAACGAATTATTAACTTTGTATTCCATTGGCAGTCACAAAACTCTTCTGAACGACATCTTAGATAAATAACAGGTTAAGTATCAACCTTTATTTAATGCAGGTTTTGAACCGTATTCTTTGAAGGAGACGATTATATTCAAATCAATCTGTATTGACATATCAATAACATTTTTTTGTCCAAATGCACAGATTGCCACCTTTGATAATAGACGACTCAAATAAAATCCACAAACAAAAGGAATCCGTCTGACGGGGGGACATCAAAGGGAAAACAAACTGTGAGCTCACCCACCCATCTAAACATAAAAAATATAGTATCTGCGTGTTCCGATAATACTTGGTGAAGTTTTAATGAGTTCATTTAAATGTATAAAAATACGTAAAACAGTCGAATCTGTTTCTCGATTCTTTGAGTGGGTCTTAGGTGCTAACCAGGGCAGACACACGCGTGCACCAACGGCATTACCTCCCCCTGTTTGTTCTTTTTTTTTCTTCTCCTCTCTAAACGTTACGTTTCCACAAATACCCTCTTCCGCCGAGATTATTGGAAACTACGCCTTTTTTGTGACCGCACCCGGTTCGGCTACTTTGTGTAAACAAGAATCCAGTTAGAGAACCCAGATTAACACTTCGTTGATTTCAAGAATGCTTACCTTAATTTACCGTGATAATGTGTTCTTATTGAAGGCCTTTACTGTAGTAACCCATTTAAACGGATAATGATTTTATTGATTAAGTAAACTATGTAGATCGTTGTAAGTAGATCGAAAGAAGGGTTATCATTTTAAAAAAATCTTATATTTGAATATATTTTTTTATATTTTAATTTTTTTAATGATAATATTGCATGATTATATAAATAAATAAATATTTACTAACAATCACGCCACATTAACTGGTCCTGTGATAAGTTCGTAAAGAACTTGTGTTACAGGTACCAGATGACGGAAATAAATGTAAGATTTTTTATTATACACATACACATATTTAATATACATCCATAACCCTGGAAAAGACATTTATATTTATCATACAAATATCTTGCCTTGGCGGGATTCGAACCCGCGACCCCCTTGTGTAGTGACCATGTCACTTACCACTACACCAGACGGCCGTTAAATATAATGTTATTTTGAAGTTTTTTTATTTGGCTAATCAGAATTGATATATGGGGTTAAAAGTGTATGAAATAAAGAACATAAGATACAGCGTGTTAAATATGATTTAATTTCGTAATTTTTCTTAGCAATAATGTTTCGGTTTCAGCATTTGAATACTTATATTATGACGCAGCGATACAAGAGCCGTCGTCAAATTACATATATATATTTAATAAATGTATCTAAGCGCATATTTTCATTAAACTATTTTTACGTGTTTGGAATGTTTTAAAATGTCTTTTAACAATTACTTTCTATGGAATATATAGGAATGTATAGCAACGATATACGTTCACATTGTTTTTTTTTTTTTGGCTTTTTATTTGTTTCTACGATTTTCTAAATCCGAATATTGTTCGAGTTCCAAAATAACTATACGACTAGCAAAAGAACAATATGCAATAGATTTATTATGACAGCTGTAGAAAGAATTGAAATTCAATATTCGGATTGAGGTAATCGCTTTTTTTACAACATCAACATACAAATGAATACATGACAATACGATACATTTAACTAATAACTTTTATCGATTTCAGATTAGCCAAAAACGGACAAGGGCCTTTTTGGATTTTCTAAATTTTTAGATAAAATTTGTATGTATTACATCGAAAACGGTTATTGCCTACATTCAGCATATTCTTAATATAAATAAGGGCAATTTCTACTATAGGTGAACATACATAGACATTTAAATATACTACTATTACAATGCGAACACAAATACATACATTGCCACCACACATATGGCACAGATCTTATAAATTATTTTACACAATAATGGCCTTTATATACTGGTACTTAAAAGAATTCACAATTTAAATCTTTAACGCAATTAAATAGAAAAGACAAAGAAGCATCGATTGAAAATCGACTTTACGAAAACAAGAGATTCAATCCATCATTCACATGCCAACACTTAAAATAATATTTACAAAGCTCTCAAATCATACCGAACAGATACACAGAAACATTTGAATTTATCTAATCAAGAACAATTATTAAGGGAATAATTTCAGTAGAGGAAGTTTATTATGAAAACTAGATCGACTGGCTAATCACGAGAGAGCGACGGTCGGGTACCCATTATTAAATACAAAACATTTTATTACAACTTTACATCTAACATCTACGTTTAAAATTTTCTGAATAACATTTATTTCGATAAATAAGTAAACACAATCAGTCCTATTATATTTACAAGCAGTCACGATCCGGACTTAAAATTTAAGCGTTTTAAATAATAACACACTGAGAATTGACGTAAAGGCATATTAGCTACACTGATAGCGGGCCAGCCGGAGCAATCGAAGGTATGGGATGTAGTTCATGTAATGCTGGTGGGTGGCTCACAGCTCGGCCGTCGAGTGTCGGCGCGCCAGCGAGCATCCGAGTGCAACGGTGGTCTGTCGGAACACTCGTGACGACCGAGACTACTATTTGTTCTTTCCACAGAAAACCTTTTTTCCTTTTAGTGCACAGGCCCGGTCGCTAGCACACGNGGCCAGCCGGAGCAATCGAAGGTATGGGATGTAGTTCATGTAATGCTGGTGGGTGGCTCACAGCTCGGCCGTCGAGTGTCGGCGCGCCAGCGAGCATCCGAGTGCAACGGTGGTCTGTCGGAACACTCGTGACGACCGAGACTACTATTTGTTCTTTCCACAGAAAACCTTTTTTCCTTTTAGTGCACAGGCCCGGTCGATAGCACACGAACAAACGAGCGCCACGATGTTACACGACCTTAAGGAATTTCACAGCTCCGGACGACGTCTCGGCTCGGCGTTTTTTTTTTACCCCATTCAAATGTTTGCTCTATCGCTTCAGCTACCATTCATGCGGCGTTTGAAACGCCGCGGCCACCGCGCCCCACCTAATGCTATCACTGTCCACGTCACTGTAATAATACTGCGGTAGTTGACTAATACTCTGTCCACTCACAAAGTCCATCGACAGCTCTGGCAACGAAACGCGCGAAGCGTTGAAGCTTGAAGCTGCTAATTATCGAGAGAGGTTGTCTACGTGCCCTCGCAGTTCCTCCGCCTCTGATGCCTGGCGTGGTGGTGGCGCACTCCGCGGCACGGAGGCTTGATGGAGTTCTGCGCTGGAGGCCGTCTACGCTGTGAGCGCCACTTGGTATTGGCGAGCATGCTGTTGTGTCTGTTGATGTCGAAGTCGTGGGCTTCGTTCATGAAGGAGAAACACTTGTGCATTCTCTCCGGAACGTTGTTCTTGCCACGACGCAACTGCATCCCGCGCCGGTTGAACCCTATGTACCTGTTTTTGTTGTTCGCGAGTCGGTATCTGTTGTAGCCGTCGACAAATTCCTCTTTGAATAGGCAGTTGGGCTGCTTCTCTGCTTGGAAACGTGTCTGCGAAGAAGAAAGAAGAAAAATTTGATTCAATTACAATTACACGAACAGTTTTACTTAGGATTCGTAATAATCTATACTTATATACTAATATTATAAAGCTAAAGTTTTTGTTTGTTTGAACGCGCTAATCCCAGGAACTACTGGAACGATTTGAACAAATCTTTCAGTGTATATTATTCTTTCAGGCTATATAACACCACTCTAAGACCAATACAAGCAGAGCACGAATGAAGAATGCTTCAAAATCGGGGTTCTTTCCCCTTTTGAGAGCTTCCGCTGTGTGCGCTGCAGAAACGGTTAATGTTTCGCTAAAATAATGTATGACAGAATTGTTCCCCTTTAAAAGATCTAAAAAAAGTCCACGACAGCATAAATGTCTATATGTTATGGTTGACTCACTATAACGTGTTTTATGCTAACCAAATTTGTTCTAAAATAAAGCATTATTTGAGAACTATTCCACGCGGACGAAGTCGCAGGCAAAAGCCAGTAAATAATAAATTAACTCACCAGTCGCCTGCCGACAAGCCGGGATCGATTGAAACAGAGATACATGTCTTGAATGGGCGAGTATATTAGCAGTTCTAGGCTGAAGCGCGAGCTGATGGTGAGATTCGCTGTAACAAAAAAAAAAACACTGTCATAAAATTCTAAAGTACCTAATAATCTTGACAAATTGTTGTATCACAGATAGACGCATCGAGATAGGCAGTATTTGTTTTGCAATCTTTAGACGTTTATGAAGCTTTAAAAATATGTACCGTATAATCGCACGGGTACTTCCATTCGGCCTATTTTTGCCGAGAAACAGTCACGGGTCCGATTTGGACAGAGACAGCCGGTATACAACTGAGACTTCGATCTCATGTCTCAAGGTATCTATCATTTTATGCTGTCTATGAATACCCGATACCCATTCAAGACTCGATGGTTCGAGAGAGCATCGCCAATTGCACAAAAAACAACTAATAATATAAAAAAAATTGTTGTTTAAAAATTCCTTTTTTGAAAACTGTAAATTTAACAAAAACCTTTAATTCTATTAAAAATAAATAAATACACACTGTGTATACAAAAACACGTAAACAGAATTATACTAAAAATACAAAGTCAAGTATGTTCCTCGGCTCTCTAATGAATAAACTCATAACACGGTAATATTAATAATTAGAAAGTCAACATTCAAGGAATCTCATTTAAAACTCCCGGTATCGATAATTACATCACCATGCGTGCAATCATTCTTATTAAAATCGAAGCCTATTATTTTATTTTATTTTATTTACTTTCTTAAAATACAATGTTACTTTTGAAAACAATATTTGAAGAAATGAGAACAATCATATATTTTTTTACTTTTAATTTACTAGATATGTATTACTTTTTAAAAACCTTTATAATTTAGAATGAATAAGGATGTCCTATATTCATAATATGATCGTCTAAAAAATTAATATTTCGGTCGTCACGCCTTGATTCATCTTACTAATCAATAAAACTTAAAAACGGAGTAAATTAGAAATTATGTTATTACATCGCGCTACGGAGTTAATATTTTTATTTTGATGGTTCATTAAAATGAACTTTTTTAAAGTTCAAAATGAATATGTCGATGAATGTTAAATTATTGTTGGACACTTTATACATTGAAAGACAGTATTACATGTGTGCTTTTCATTACATTTGAAATTTACCTATTAAAAGAATCGTATTCGATAATGTTATTCCTACGAGACATGCGATCAACACATCTTAACAATAGTGATATTCGATTGGTAGGAAATATACCCAATATAGTGAAAGTGGTTTGAGGGGGTACATAATGCTCATATGTGTCTCCTGATTATTGGCCAGTTACATAATACTTAAGAACAAAAATTATAAAATATAAAACTCACAACATACAGTGAACGGAATGAATAAAACTCTCGTTGCTTTTTAAATATATATTTTTTATTTTTATTTTGACATCATATAAACCAACCTTTCTATGATAGATAACGTGAAAGACGAAAGTTCGTGTATGGAATCCAATGTCCAACGCGACTGGTTTCGAATAAAAAGCATTTATAAAAAATAAAAATAAAACCTTATGCATCGGATGCGACCGCCTGCGACACCGGCTATGTCATTTCAATTAACATTCGGGGATATAAAAACTACGGTATAACTACGGACATAAATTCGTTATAATTTCTGTGAATCGGTTTGTGTGAAAGCGGAAAAACGATATCGGGTTAAAGCCGAACAGGAAATATATATGATCGATCGTGTAACTACTAAGGTTTCGGTGACAATTTACAGACGAACGAGCTTTGTTTTGTTTGCCTTTAATTAGTAAAGATTAAATACAAATTCTATAATAGTTTTTTTTTTTTTTTTATATATTTGAACTTAGAAATCATTTTCATTAAAAGGTTCCTCATAAGGTTATAGCGGAATCCATATAGTTCGCAATTAAAATCCGCTAGATATTTAAGGTCGAGTTCCCAGTTATATAGGACATACGTTTTTCCTACTTTTCAAAAGCTGCCACTATGACCAATATCTTTAAATCAAACTGATACTAATTCTAATCATGTTAGGACGATAGTGACAATTGTTTTCACGTTCGGTCCATGACATCCGACAACAAATTAACAACAAAGCAACCATGAGTTAAAACTAGGAAGGGTATTAGGTGATAGTATCAAAAACCGCCAAACACACCCCAAATCGGACACTAGTGGTCTTGCCTCTATTGAATAGCCCGAAACCTTACTTTATTACTTTATCAAAATGATAAGATCCTGTCCTTAAATAGCTATGTCGATCAAAAACAGTTCTCGATAGTCGTGGGTGAGAAATAACTGTATTAACAACGAAATGCTATTTCTTTTTAAAAACAGAGCGTCATTATGATCACGTGAAATAAGAGTAATTTAATAATATTTTTTTACCCCATCAAATACAGCTATAAAAATACTCTGATAAAGTCAGGAATTGTTTTATTGTGTGTTATAACGTTATCTTGTAGAGCGCGTACGTCAGAGAAGTTATTGTAAATGAAAATTTGTTTAATCTCCGTAACATTACATTTTAGTTTTGACCGAAACTGTGAATGGAACGAATCGGTATGCTTGTTTTAGTAGTGCGTTGCAAATTTGCACAATGCTTATTTGTTAAAGTGGTAAGAAAAATAAATTTTAACATATTCGTTAAGGTATTGATCAGTTGAAAACGTATTTTATTTATGAGTTTTAGATGTCGAATTTAAAATAAGCTATTATGAGTTGTACGTGACTTCTTTGCGGGTGAACTAATTAAGGATCGAATGAATAACAATATATTAGAGATACTTCTTAGCACAGCTTCTTCTCAAGTTAATGATATCTATAGAGAGAGATAAACGCAATCCCCATCTTTGAGGAGAACAATTTAACCACGTATTTTTTTTATATTTGGTTGTGGGGCATACTACTGTTCCTTTTATGCAAACGGTACTAATCAATCCTGAATCAATTTCCGTTCTGAGTCATCACCTTTATTAAATATTTATCATTATTTGGTACTTCTTCTATCTATCGCTAAAGAGTCTGAATTCCAACCTTAATGGAATGGTGGATCAAATAAATATGTTATATATATGAATGGTGAATAGAAAAATGGTGGATCAACCGATTTACAGTGAGACGTAGACTTTAATTTCAGGTTTCAAGTTGGATGGCGACTTTTTCACTGTAGTATCTGTAGGCTCCGGTAACCATCGACGTCATCGGTCATTCATCGATGCAAGCAACAAGATAATAATACCAGCAGCGTACTCCTGACCATATCAAAGAATTAGAATCGAATTTACTTCTTATATGTGCCAAAAATGACGACCACAACCTTGATATTTATTCAGTGATGTCAAACTTTACAATACTGACAGAACATATTGTAAGCTTGAAAAATTAGATATCAACGATTTACCTATTTGTGACACGGGGCAATCATGCGCTCTGGTTTATTACCATCAATTGCCTTTATGGCAATTGAAGTTTTAACTTAAGTTTATTTTCATGTCAATTAAGCTATGTAGCAACCGCTTTAGAGAGGTGAACGGTAAACTCGTCTGTCAATCTACATATTAATTATTAATAATTAAACAGATAAAACATCTGTACAAAACTTAGATAATACGATTCGTAAACTTTAAGCAGGGGACAATTTCAAAGGGAACTTCTTTGGAAACAGGCGGAGCGCGTAATCTGCCTAACCCCGTGATTGAGAGACAAGCTAATTTTGTAAAGACAAAGTTATCTCAGTCGCTTGAGTGAACATCACTTTGAAGTGGCCCCGACACGTGATTTTCTCTTCAGTTAGCTACGCAGATAGACTTTCAATCTTTCGATTTCGTAAGTATATAGTCAAACTGAACAAGAAGAAACTGGTACATTTGATTTGAAACAGTATTCAAGGTTTGTCATTTCATATCATATCTAACATGTCGTCAATCGAAACATTATTCCTATAATTGACATTCTGTCACAGCACTGAACCCAGTGGGACTAACAATTTTAAAAGAAATGAAAGAAAAAGAAACTGTTACTGTTACAATATGTAATATGCAATAATTATTTGTCTATTTCCACGGGCACACATACTAATGATCTTCAAGCTATTTACCTCACGTATTTACTTCACGTTAAATGTCTCTTTTTGGCTCACATTTTCTACAAATTAATCTTCAAGTCATCAAGAACAGTCAACGATTCACGGGTCAATGACTGACAATCGACCGATAACGCCATATCAATATCTATGTACTTGTTACCTGAATTTAATAAACTTAATGTAATACAATGCTTTAAAATTTTTCTGGCCACGATCGTTAATACCTTTTATCAAAATTGAATACTTGTAAATATATCCCAACAATGGAATCCATTAATCATTTATTATAAAGGAAATTTATTTATTTTGAACTAAGAAACGAACGTCTAATCTTAAATATTGTTTTTAATTATTAAAGTAGATAATAATACCTTTTGTAATATATTATCTAAATCCTGACATATAAAGTATTGATTTAAAAAATTCATATACAATACAAAGTCCACTGCAATTTTTACAGGGGCAAAGTCATGTGCTAAATAAACACTTTAATAAAATGAAGTTGTAAATTTTTTAAATGTACACTCCTACAAAAAATACTCAAAATAGAAAATGAACAATTTAATTCACTTTGAATGCGGTAATACTGGTGTTACTACCAAGTTTAAACTAACATTCTGAAACATTCAACCTCGATGCTGTACCCATTACACACAGATAAAAGCGGAATTAAAACTCAAGTTGAACGGTTGTAATCGCGGCAAATCCGGGTGAATCCGAGCCTGCGGTGGGTTTGATATTTAACAAGAATCTCACTTTGACTCCCAAAGCGCTTCTTTAGAAAGAGTGATTTCATTACATTACACGTCACGTCAGCAAAAACATTTTTTTGCCTTTTTAATATAAAAGTATTGAAAAGAAATTATGGCACGAAATGTACCATAATACCCCGCAACAGCGTATCTCGTATCAGATTTGAGCCCAAAACAAAAAGGAGTTGAAAGAAATCGTCACGTAACAAAATAGCGTTACGCCGTTA